CCGCAAGAAACGGCAAAACTTCGTAAGCATCGTTGATTTCCGCTGCGTAGTGGAAGTTGACAACTCTGTAAATTGCGCAACTTCTATCACAACGTAGAACACGGTAAAACCAGCGCAGACTTGAAGTTGACATACGACTAATCGAACTGTTCTGCCTACACAACAGGCGCCTTATTAGCGTATAGAATTATTGTTTTGTACTAAGGATATTTAAATGCTTTTACGTCAGCACGAAGAAGTGTGGCTGATCGAAAACCACAAACATGTAACATTGGCTTGACCAGTTTGGGCAAAAGCCTGCCTAACAAGTTATAAATACTGATTCTGAATAGACTTTAAAGCTGCAAAGTCGAGATAGATCTGTCTGTTGAAAATCGGCTTGGCTGACTACTTTCCTTGCCTATGCACAGTTCAGGCTTACCCTGCGTTCGAATTTGGATACACTATCTCACCACAAATTGGACTTGAGAGCGTCTTTAGAGAGGAATACAAGAGACAGAGCTGTTGCTGCCCTGGAGAAGGCGGCATCTGAGATACGCGCTGCCGCAAACAAAGCACTATATGCTGCTATCGCAAAAGTGAAGAAGATGGATTTGGAAAGCTCCGAGACTATAACCAGATTCGTTAATCTCATCACGGAACTTTCGACGAATGTGGCTATGGCACATGATATCCGCAGCTCGTTGATAGAGCTAAAAGTGGGTGGTGTACTGATCACTGTGAATTGTCCCTGTTGCAATTCCCTTTATTCCCTTCCTTCCTTTTCGCTGTTGCAGGATTTAACAATGGCTGTAGGAATGCACAGCAAACTGAAAAGACTTCTTAATGATGCCGCGAAATTAAGGATGGCGATCAAACAAGTTCCACCCTTGCAGATAACACAGATAAAACTGTCTGATCGACTTACCGAGGTAACCTTACTAATACCTTTTTTCGCCTACTTGTCTTTGTCCAAACGATGTGAGCTAGTCGGAAGCATTTAAGTGATTTTGCCTTCGCTCAAGAACGACAGATCATTACTGCCACCATCCCCCTATAATTATAGTGGAATTTACGATCCCACAACTCGCTTTACTATGATCAGGCACCCCAGAACGCAAGGTGGAAATGGGTGTTTTCGGTTGACAATGGGAGAGACAAGGCAAGATAGTCGGTGCAGCCTTAAATCAGAATATCCGAACGAGCAGAGTGCAGTCTAAATAAGTTAATGTCGTCATGACCACATGCATCAGGTGTACCTTGCATAAAAATACTGCAGTTGTCAACTTTTTAGTCAGTGATATAAATATGGAGTGAAGCATGGCAACGGCGTTGGCTACAGGTTACGAGGTGTACTTGACGTTGTAAACACTTACTTCTTCCTATTCTTAGATCATCCAAGATCTTAAGGAAATTGATCTCGTCGTGCTGGGTGAGTTAAAACTATCTCCGCGATCACTGTGACCCTTTACCTGAGACGAAAGGTAGGTGAAACAATCGTATTATTAAGCTCGATACCTGGATTGATGTTTAAACTGGTTTAGGTCTTAGCTCTTGCTTAAAGCATTCTTTAAGTATGCGCAATTATGTAAATGGTGTTAAAGAGAAGAGGAGGATGGGACATTTCGACTGAATAAGCTGTCTGAGTAAAATTAGGTCGAGAGGTAATTGATACTGATGGTGTGCGCTTCGAAGCACAAATCTTACATCGCTTAGGTAGAGCTGTACTTGGGAGATTTATGATTGAACGACACGAAGAGCTATTTGCACCGATACTCTATCACTTATAATACTGTTGCAGTCAGATTCCTGGGTTGAGCAGGCAATACACGTGAGGAGAGGAGCACTGAGTGCGCAACCTCTTGGCAGAAGACGCAAGCTGCTTTCGTCCTATCAAGTGCTTGTTACTCTATTAAATCTATTATCTTGCATGTGAAATCCTGTAAGTTAAATAAGACGAAGAAGAAAGGCTTCCTCTTACTGTAATTTGGCAAGGGGATTTTGGGCTAACTTTTCTCTGAATCTGCAGTAGCTTACGATTAGGTGGAACTACAAACTTTGGCGACTGCCCAAACCGATATGGACAAATCGATTTTTTGTGAGACGACTTGCCGAAAATGTCGATATTTTAAGAAATAATAACGCTTTCAGATTTTCGCTTTTCCAACGACTT